TTATAATAATAATGATTTTTTTCATTGAAATAAAACGCTCGTGAACTCAATTGTACAATAAGTATATATGACATTACAATGTTTGAGTTAGTTATAAAATCAATATATTTTAATGATTAATGCAATTGTAGGTACCTATTATAATAATGATGATTTAGGCTTTACTTAACGTTAAATTGAATTATTCTTAGTAACATATCTGAAACGAAATACAAGTCGGATCATTTGTTGGATAATGACAATATTATGCTTTAGTAAGAGTAAAGTTTTTAACAAATTATTATAATTATGAAAAGAAATATGTTAAAGAGTGGAATATCTGAAATGATAAATATTATGAATATTATTTTTCAAGTGAATGGGCCATTTTTATTATAACAAAATAATGTTTTATTTTGTATATATAGTTTATATGTATATCGGTACTATTGCGGACTTATTATCATACTTGGAAATTATATAAGTATAAGTACGTACGTTAACTCGTAATTTGACGTTCCGAATACACACGGCGTATATTATATACCACAATGAAAACAATGTTAATATATACCTATATTACGTGCCATCCATGCAGTTGCATTACTTGTAGATTTTTAGAAACAATCGTGTTCAAAAAAAGGTTCAGATTATACTGGTTTGGCTGGTCGGTCTGCATTCCGAGATAAGAATATGCGTCATGTCATGATGAATTATTGCCGAAATAAGACCAATGCGCAGCATCACTTTAATGTATAATGTGATTTACAACTCGTCCCGTACCGTATTTCTTGGCCAAACGCGTGCGTGATCTATCTAAGTATGGTACCGATTACACATTCATAGGTTTGGACACGGATAGGCGTAGATATATTAATGGTAAATACTTGCATTTACGTTATTGCTCTCATTGGTAACAATATATTATAAAGGTATAAACCGGAACACGATGTTTATACCTATATTATACTATATTATAGTTATTCGGTTTTATATGATAAAAATTCAAGTCTGTATAATATAGCTACACTCGCTGATCAAACGTTGAATAAATAAATTGTAATATTGCAGTTTGTAGAACTAAGTTTGTGATGAAAATCCTTGAGATCACGCGGTGTGGAAAACATTTATGATTGCTTCAGTATGATGTTATTATTACAATCATATTATTATTTTGTCTGAGGATCACGCAGTAGAAAATTTACAATCCCCGAGTATACCACAAAATTAATTATGTTTATGATTTATCGAACAGTTTAAAATAATGAATTTCGCTTATGAATAATGCCGTAATCGTATATAATTGTTTTCGATAAATATTGTAATATTTAGTAACGGTATATTCGTCGTAAAGTATCTTTGAATGAGTCATTTTAAAACGCCGCCATTTCGAGGCGGTACATTATATTATATATACATATATACGTTCAGTGCATAATGGCTTAATATACAAACGCCTAAAAGGGAATATTATTTTCCAACATCGGAATAGTTATAATAGTAATAATAATAATAATAATAATCAAATGACCTAGTTATCGAAATAAAACAAAAACGTTTTCGGTTGTGTTTCAATTACGTCAGACGACAAATCACATCACACCCATATAATATTAAGTACCCAGAGACATGTAAATTATTCTATATTGTTGCAACACCGTTTCTCGTATAATCCTCATAATACAACAAGAGATAGGAATAAATGTACCTACAATTTACAATAAGATATATCTTTTTTTGAGCGGTGTTTCCCTTTTTTTTCTTTTAACCGAACACGTTTTTAATGCACGAGTGAATAAACTGTACCTATAACATGTACAATATTATTAAATACATTATTATAATTCATATTTTATATATTTTGTACTCGCATATTTTGTGATCGGTTCTTATCTTTTTAGTTTGCCGCATTGATATAGTGTGTGAACATTTTTTTCTCTTCGATGTGTAATTTAAAAAATAAAGCTAATGCATAGCCGGGAGGCGGTGATCCCATGTCGTGCAGTGGGAGGACGGGGTGCTACGTGTGCTGTATACACACACACATACATATATTGGACGCATGTAATAATGTACACGCACGCATATATATATTTATATATACGTCCCGGAGAGCTTGACAAGCCGGCGAGGCGGTCGTAAAAACTGTAATTTAACTGCTGTTCTGGGCCCAGCACGTATATAGTTAGTTGATAAATTAAAAAAAAAAACCGTGAGAGAGAGAGAGAGAGAGAGAGAGAGAGAGAGAGAGAGAAAGAATGAGTGAGAGAGAAAGTGGAGGAAGAGGAAAAAGCCAAGGGTCGTAAAAACTAAAAACCGCGGGGAAGAAGAAAGTTTTTATTTTTTCAAGTATAGCTGAGAAAATTGGATAGCAAACGCTCGATTCGTGTAAAATATGTTTATTCCAGCGCTGCAGCAGTGTATTATTATATATTTAATATCGCTGTGAATTCAGTTTTAATAAAATGAGCATTATGTAGGTTTACCAGCGAAAATTCAGTTCATGAACGACCTCAACTGTGACACCGTAATATTTGGACTCGATTCCAATTGTAGGTACATAATATTATACTATAGAGTGGGCGAACGGTTTTCTTTTTATTTAAAGATTTGTTTTAAATCGTAATAATTATTGTTGGTCTGAATAAAAATTCGTAATCGTTAAAAAAGTCCATCAATTATACGATATTATTTTTACTATTAGAAGTGACTAACAGTTATAGTTTTTTATACTCCCATATAGTATGAGTGTAGCATTAATATCATATAAATTACATGTACGCACCCTACATAAGTAAATTTCAGTATTAAAATATATTTAATATATATAGGTACTACTATATTAGGTAATAAGGGTAATATAATTGTTAAACGTGTTTATTGCCAATAATGCCTAAAAACGATCATAGTTATTCGATTACAACTAAAATATTACTTGACGAGAGGTCAAAAAACAAAACATGAATTGCTATGTTTGCGGCCAACAAGGAAGGTTAATACGAGATAATAAAATAAGATTATACTTTTTATATTATAAATTATTTAAATCTTGTATTCTACAGTCTATGCGAATATTTATATAGTATATAGAAATAAATAATATTATAATATATAGTAAATTTACATGTTACAAGTAATAGTGATTGGGATTATGTTGACAAGTATATGAATGTAAAATAATAAAATAAAATAAATTACCTATAATAAAAAATAACAGTTCATTAGACTTCTGAATTAAGAATTTAATATCTTAAGTTTTTTTCGATTATTTAATACGATAAATATAATTAATTATGTCACATACACTTGTGAAAATTGTCAGTAAAATTCATTTTTATAACACCATAAAGAACATTAAGTCACTATTTATTATTGTTATTATTATTTTTTTTTTATTTTTTTTTTTTTTTTTGATTTACTGAGTCTCTTAGTTAGACAATTATTTTAACAATATTTATCTTTTATAAAATTATAAGTAAATATTTATTTTCCCTATTATTTTAATTCGGATTTTTAAATATATTACTTTTCATGCAAAATGTATATCATGAAATTATAATCTTGAATCTTAAATATACTGTTGTAAATTTTTTTTTAATTTAACTTCAAATTATTATGTATAAAATATTATATAATGTCTTAATAGTCAATGATTTATATAATCAACGCTTTTGACAAAAATAAACTATTGTTTTTAATGACTCTGAACATTATGATTTATAAATTGTAATATTAATATTAAATTTAAAACATAGACCATGATTCATAATTTATGCTTAATGTTAGAAACACTTAAAAATATTACATTAAAAAATGTTTCAATTATTAATTAAATTTAACTATATATTATATATGGTATGCATAGAATGGTAAAATTATTTATATCATTCACATAAGAATGACGGTCATTGATAATAGTAATTCATAATATAATATATCAATTATTGTCAATATGTATATGAGGCCTGTAGTGATAAATTTCTTCAGTTTTGAATAAGTTATTGATATTTGTAAGTGCTTAAAAAGTGTTTTATATCATTTTTATTATGCCCATCAAATTCTAAATGCATGTTTAACTGTAAACAAATATTTTATATGACATTTAAATAAGATTACATGTCAATGTCAGATATCTAATGTCAAATACAAAAATTAAAACCAATATTAATTGACATTAAATCGAAAAAATTCAATATCTAAATGTTAACACTCGGTAGATAATAACAAAAGCTTAAACAGAATCTGGAGAAAAAAACTAAAATCTAACGCACCACTATTGATTACTGTTTTGTAGATTAACATCAAAGTAATAAAATATAAATTACGATCTATATAGCTCTTTGAATGTATAATAATATAGGTAGTAGATACCTACCTAAGCGCTGTATTCGGTACATCACGAACGGCAATTAATATTGTTGTCCGAGATCGTTATTATGCCGAACGCCAAATTTAAGTAATAAACAACGATAGGTAACGCGATATGACAGGATAATGACTTAGTATATAAATCGTACAATAGAATTTTATTAATATTCTAACAGTATAATGTGGTTCGGTTGTAGGAAAAAAAAATACTTGGCTACCCACAGATAGCGAAAGAAATCGATAAGAATAAAACGCGCGTGTAGTAATATTAATTGTATCTTATAATCATTAAAATACAATTTATATCTAAGGCCACCATAGTATATAAAATATATAATTCATCACGTCGTCATGACAATTATATCGTTGTCGGGACAAACTATAAAAGTAATTATTTAATTAAAAAAAAAATATATATAGATTAAATTGACATCGTTAAATGTTTTGTGCGTCAACTGCGATATGGAAATAATCGGCGGTGGATATAGTTATAACGACATACTCGTATTATGCGAGATAAGCCTCGTCGAAACTATATAATCGAATAACAATTATAATTATCGATTGATTAAACGGTAAAGGTCGCCCGGGGCTAGTGATTTAAATAGCTGTTGACCGTACGTCTCGACATTAGTCAATCGTCCGTCAAGCAAGGAGTCCACGATCACCACAACGATGAAGACTTAAAACGGCTACAGCGAAGACCAAGACTTAGACGACACGACTTGAGACGACTATGGCTACGACCAAAACTACGACAGTGGTGAGTACTCTCGTTTATTTTTCCAACGTTTAAACAATAAATCATAATATTTCCTGCGCTCGTCTAAAATCGTTTTCTCATAATAAATGTTCCAAATTGGTACAGTTACACCGCTGAGAGTTAATACGCGAAAATACGTGTGAAAAAAAATAATACTCATAAAAATAAAAAGGATAATAATTTTTATATAAATTTTTTTTTTGTGTCTGAAATGCATATTATGTATATGTGTATTGCCTTTTAGTTTGTTTTATGAGCGCGTCGTATACACATGCACACACACATTTATACATTATGTATAACACATTATATTTCACGATTTAACTGACTTTAACATGAGTACGTCGTATTAATTATTGGCCCATAAAATTTTAGATCGAACGAAAGTGTTTCTCGCAGTGTGTCTGCAGTGTGTCTGTGACACGCGTCACCACTTAAAATACTATTTTATATACTTCCAATTATTTTACATTTATAATACCTACACCTACTAATGTACTACATCATATTGATTTTACAATTTGTTTTCTGTATTTCTTTCATATAAGCAGTGTTGTCGGCAAACGTCATGTAATATGTTATTAGGATAGGTGTTGGTATTTTGGATGTTTTTTTATTTAATTTAGATCATTTATTTTTTTAAGTGATACATTCTAAATAATTCATGTTTTTTTTTATAAATAGAACATTGCGATATGTTGACCATTTAAATGTATTCATTTTATATCCTAATATGTAGAAATAGCGCTATCGATTTTCACTTTCATTACAAATTAATTAAAATTATAACATTTTAAAGCAAATTAAAATTTTTAACGGACTTCGACTGCACGTTTATATCGTGTACCTGTACCTAACGCAGTATAAACACTAGAACTATCACCAATAGATTCGTATTATTATAAATATTATATGAGCCATATTAAATATTTTTATATACATGGATTGTATATATCTGCTGTTTACACACAATAAATTAATATACTTATATACCTGTTGCATAATGTGTTTAGCGCGGTAAACGGTCACTTTGTACTGTCAATTGTTTAAAATACAGAACGCGGACACTTTGTACTATTATATACATAAAGTATATATTATAAATATAAGTGTTATACCTAAGAAGTAACTAGTAATTATGTATAGTGTTAATTATTAAAATAGAAAAATTAAAAATTAAATTGTTATAAAATATTGTATAATAATAATAATCTAAATAATCAATAATAACATTCTATCATCAAACTACATGTAAAAATGTAAATGTGTACAATATAAATATCAAAAAAATCAAAAAGTAGTACGTATAATATAAAAATAGTATTTATACGTAATGGTTTTTAGATTATTAACTAATAAAAAATAAAAATAAAAATAGTATAATATAGAAATATGTCAAATGACAAAAAAAAAATATAATACTGAAAAAATAGTTAAAAACTACATGTAAAGTATATGGAATTTAAAAATTCAATATTTGTTAATTCTTTTCTTTGATGCTGGTTACATAAATTAAATAGTTTATTATTGTCAGCCGTACAAGATTTTTTTTTCTATTGCCACATTCGTCTAATTGTTTTGCATATTTGACATATTTCTATATTATACTATTTTTATTTTTATTTTTTATTTGCTAATAATCTAAAAACCATTACATCTAAATACTATTTTTATATTATACTACTTTTTGACATTTTTTTTTACTTTTTTGATATTTATATTGTACACATTTTTACATGCAGTTTGATGATAGAATGATATTATTGATTATTTAGATTATTATTATTGTACAATATTTTATAACAATTTTATTTTTATTTTTTCTATTTTAATAATTAACACTATACATAATTACCAGTTACTACTTAGGTATAAAATTTATATTTATAATATATACTTTATGTATATAATAGTACAAAGTGTCCGCGTTCTGCAATGTACCTTTTTACCAGACTGTACTAAGTGTCCTCGTTTCGCACTTATAATGCCTGACTGTACAAAGTGACCATCAACCGTTTAGCGCGTTACTATTATAATTTTTATTTTTTAAACTGAAATTATTTTGTGTTTTAATAGATCCCTAAGTAAAATAACTTAAATATGCACATACGTATAATATGTACTCACAAATTTATATATGACTTGTGACGTAATACTTTTTTTTATAAATTATAATAACCCAACTGTCTTTTATTACCTTACAAATGTCCAGAGGAAATAATTCTCTATATGGTGTCTATAGCTATATCATTATTATAGAAAGCGTAGACCGACGAAAGAAAATACTGCAGTTTATGTGTTTTTGCCATTTATGTAAATTAGTTGGTACATTTTTATTTAATATGTACATATATATTTATAACCATTATTTAAAAACATTAATTGCACAGGAGTAATAAAATAGTAATGTGTTATAATAATATACATTGTGATGGTCGAACTCTGTAAGAACTTACATAATATATTATATTAAAAATAAATGAATATAAACAACTGCCGTTGTCATGTTTTAATTGTAATAAATTAAAAACAGTTAACTTACAAATATAGGTACTGATAAACTATAAATATCTGATAGGAATAATAATATTATTTGAAAAATTTTAACTTAAAAATTATTGCAATAACATATTACAAAGGCATAATACTTGATACTATGTTGCGTTCGTATCATTTCGTTTTTAAGTATTTCTTCTGTTGTACTGTTACTTCTGTAAGACCCTAATAACGACGGTGATTATAATGAGATTTTTTTTTTTTTCATATAATTATATTTGAATCAATTTTGTTAATGATTTAATGGAAACAAAAAAAACAACCGATATGTACCTTAAATTACTTTTTCCGTGCCCTATATCGTATACCTATATGTATGATCATAAAAACCCGCTAGTCATCTGATAATCACGTCTGCCGTTCGTATTTTTTTAAAACAATACATGTTAAATATATATCGCACCATCTCGCTGGACCCTATATCGTTTTAACCCTACACATTATGTACGGCGATAGCTGTTTTGTCATCAATACGTTCGAGTCCCTTATACATATATATATATATGATTTAACGTATACATTGTATGGGGGCGCGGAATCCATTACGACACTCTCTGCGGCAGCGACCCTCTCCATTATAATGTACAATTCCATTGCGCGCGCCATTGCTGCCGCATTTATATAAATGCAACATCAGTGAGTATACCCACCGCCGCCTCCACCACTGCCGATGCGAAACCGTTTCCCGTTCGATGTAACAACCCTCTGGGCATTCTCCTCCGCATATAGTACAAAACAATATAGGTATATATAAATGTATAACAATATAATATATAGAGTAGGCGAACGGTGTGTTCAAGCGTACGCACACGTCGGAGGGTCGACAAAAAAAAAAAAAAAAAAAATAGCCGGGGGCTTTTTTTTATTTCGATTCGCCTCTTCTCCGTTCCCCATTTTCGGTATTACAATATATAAACCAGCCCCCGCAAAAACCCGTCACAGTATCGCATCGGGACCCGAAGTATTTGCACAGTGCTTGTTGCGGACTTCCGTCCGCTGCAAGCGCCGAAGACCGCGGTTTATTTATTTTTTTTTTTGTCATCGTCGTCTTATCGGTGTGTATTATAATACGTACAACGGAAATCCGGCCGCGACGACGGCGATCGGTATAGGTATGTTGTGTTATGGCCCTTTGTCGTCGAATCCCACGTACGTTACCACATGTTTACTTACACCTATATATGTATCATATCATATATATTTTTATATATGCACGTATTTATTATTATTGTATTTAATCGTACTCCGCTACAGTGTCACGCAATGACGCATAATATTTATTGCCGAGCGCGTTACATTATTAGACATTGTTATCATCGTGTAGTTGTTATTATTGTTATTATACCGTGTTTGTTTTTTCCCTCCACAGACATTCATGGCACAGCGGCCAGGTGTAGCAGAGACTGCTGCCATCGCACATATATACGTCCATTATAATGTACACGAGTAATGCGTGTGACGAGACTCACGGAATTACGTCTGGAGAATTGGAATCAACGGATTATGTCCGCAATGTGTACACACGAACAAACGTCGCGTACTGCATAATATATTATTATTCCAACACAATGCCATAATGGTGCTGCGATACTGCAGCGCGGAAGTGAAGAAGAAACGAAAAACAATGATTAAGGTGACGATTTTTCCATACATTGTAATTTTAACACGTACGCATAATTTATAATATATAATTTGTATAATATGGCGAGCGCGCATGTTTCTAGGTTAAGTTAGGTATTCTCTCCTCCCCCAACTGTCGCGTACCACCTTTTGTTTTCCTTTTAACTGCAGTGTTTGGTCTGCACGCATGTTTTAGTTATTTTTTATTTTTCGTACGTTTTCGTCGCGTGCTCTAGTAGAAGCTTTGCGCGTTACCAGGTCACGGTTAAACTCGAGCATACCGCATATTATTTATACGTCTAACGCAGCGCAGTTAATCGTCATTATTTGTGGGCCGTACCATGCGCCCTATCCGCTAGTTCAACTCTATAGGTATTATTGAAAACGCTTTTTAATTATACAGCCATTGGTGTTGTAATATATGATACGTCTACACAGTTAACCTGGAGATATAATATGGGCCGGAGTCGGTGGGTTTACTGCAATTTTGAGTTGACGAAAAACATAAGAGCCGTACGACGGCTTGAAAAAAATGGGTCTTTTTTATTGTCGTTTCGAGACGCATCGAGAATTTCGAGTTACCGAGAGTAGGACTGCTGCAAATGACGCTTTGATGCGCAGCCTTTCGGGTCGCGTGCGCGTAAGACTTTATCGCTCGGGCGTTGTGGGGGGGTGGGCGTTGGGTGAAAAGCCACTCCTTCGTTGGGTATCGATCCGCAGCGGGGCGGGACGAGCGTCCACCCGCCGTTGGCCTGGCAAAAGCCTGCGGCTGACGACGGGCGCAGGCGCCGCGGCGGTGACTTTGCAGCGCGCCGGGCCGCGGAAAAGCCGCCGCCGACCGTGTCTTTTGCGGGACCGGCGGATATCGTCATATCGCAACCGTCGGCGGTGGCTGTGCGTTGTCGTCGTCGACGCCGCCACCTTATAATACACGCTCTGCGCCGAGAAGCTTCCGAGCCACCATGAAATCGTCCAACTCTTCATACTTCTTCTACAAATATCAAGGTAACCGTGCTAATCATGTAGATTTCTCTCCTCGTTAGTAAACGAAAGCCGTGCTAGTTGTTAATATTTTTGACCTCCGTCGAATGGCCGCTAACAAACATGGCCTCTGTTCCTAACCCTTTTTTGTGTGCATATAATATATAAAAACGTGATCGTATACATATACATATACATATTATAATATATTGTACACTCGTCGGTTTCGTGCAGCTTTGTCACCCTCCGCACGATGATAAATAAAAATAATCTTTTGTGTATCATTTCGTATGTATATGCACACACGCGCGCATCGCCCGTTTTTTCTCTCCCGCGACGCCGTGACTCGCGGTCCGCCACCAACAGCTATTGTTCGCGGCGTCCGGTCGAAAAGGTTTTTTTTGTCATTTGATTTACTGTTTGTCTCGTGTTCTTATGCACATACAACCACGTCGCGCGTACCATTATTTTATAATATCATTGTCTTTCCATTTCCAGATGTGCTGCACCAGATACGTCGATGTGTACAATAAGCTGCTCCTCGGCCCGTCTTCCGCCGAGCACTGCTGCAGAGCTGCAAATGTTGACTCGACGAAAAATGCGTGGCACCCTGTACGTATACTAAATGTATCCTGAGTGCATTATAAAACTGTCCGGTATACCTTCAGTATACGTAACAGGGTGCCATACCGATCGTCCCGAAGCGATCCCGTGGCGCTGTCAGTAGCATCATTACGACGTCACCGCCGCCTTTTTGCGTACAAATTAATTTTTATACATACATTAATATACATAATTATTCGTTGCTAAGCTTTAGATAAAAAAAAAAAAAAATTTAGATTGTTACAAGAAATAAAGCAATGTATAACTCTAACACATTTAATACACACGCACATATGTATTACCTACATAATAATATCATCACAATAGGTATACCTATAACCTGTAAACATGTATAATAATATATAAATTATGATTATAATAATATAAATTATTGTTAATATTGTTTTACTCGGCAAGCCTACTCGATTCGTTTGTTATTTTTTTTATTATTACTGCTAGCTGTTCAAGTTGTAAGATTCCTTAGTTTGAAAAACATAATAACAATTTATGAATATCTTTAGTACTCAATTATTGCATGACTGTTATTGTCGCGAAATTGTAATCGGAAATAAAAAATAATATACATATAACTATTGCATATACATACGTTTATATCCATGTATTATATTATATTGTGCATTATACGCTCGCAAAACTCGTTTGCCCCGACGGAAAATTGCACGACAGTAAATTCGTAATGTTTACGATGTTTATCCGATACAATAAATGTGTAGGTTTATTATCATCATTATTATTAGTGTATAGTAGCAGTTACAGTATTTATAGGGAAGAGTAGGCTTGCGTGATGTGTTTTCATTTACACATAGATTACTATAAACAACGCATTACAATAATATATAATATATTGCGTAAAATGTGTAATAATATTATAATAATATTATGTGATAGGTATATCGTATATATACGATTTTTAAAAACCTTTTGTTTTGTAATTTTTTTTTTCGATTATAATATGAGCTAATGTCGGGCCTTACAATAAAATTGTACGTTTGGGTGGTGTATACGTTTTTTAGTCCTGTGAAAAGCTGTGCAATATTATCTAACAGATATCTAGCCACATGGGTCCAATCACGTACTCACAACAAAGAGAGCTTGCGCTAACTTTTAGTACCTACATTATTTTATAAACAATTGAATACAATATGACACGGATACAGGTAAATAATAGTTTTATATTATATATATATATATTGGTTTTAAAACCAGTTTTCTAAAAATATGTTCGTGAATACATTATAAAAATTTTTTAGTGTAAGATAAAAAAACCATGATTTAATATCAAATGACAATTTTGTAAACACACACAACATATCAGTAAATGCAAATATTATAATATAATATCTCGGTATAGAACGGGATACAGTATAATATATTTTCTACAATACGTCAACTATTTTAAATTATAATACACAGTATTTCTGTATAAATAATTAAATAAATTAAATTGAATACGGGCGGCCACCATAAACTCGCAATAACTGTTAAGTAGGATTTCTTAACGTTCGCTTAATAATATAAAGACTCTGGAATATTAATCATTTTATCTATATATGTTTTAAATGGTTTTTTTTCTGAGAATAATAAAGTATTAAATATTTGTATTATATTTATAACATATGTATAATAAATATTACAAATAAATGTTTAATTAAATGTTATAAACGCTGTCAAACGACCGAAATACTATTATCATTATTAAATTTATGATACGATACAACACACGTAAAAACATTTTTACACTTATCTATGTGTTTACAATATTTACATATTATAATAAGTAATTGTATGTTATAAATTTAAAACATTATGATAGTACCTAATATTATTAATTAGTTGGACGAACAAATTAACATGCATTTAAACATGCATTAAAATTAATTCATACGTTCATACATATCATTTAAATCATAATTAATAATAATGAATCTTTGTAATACGAGATGTAGGCATGTACTGGAAAATGTAAAACTATTGTATATAATCTATATAATTGCATAATGTTTATTTTATTTATATAACACTTCCTGATACAGTCATACACTCATACCTATATTATATTATAGATAATGTAAATATAAATTAATATATATAACTATTATTAAATTATAATTATACATAATAAACGTAGGTTTTTTTGTGCATTTATTATAGAATCAAAATAAAATAATTCAATTAAAAAAAAATTAAATTGTAATCTTTGCTCAACAGCTATATTTAATAATAAAAAATGAATTTATTGGTAGTGCATAAACTAAATTGTATTTTTTACGAATGAAATACTCGTATATTTAAAATTACTATATTTTAAATATGTGTTATTATTTATGGTTTTTATTATTTTTCAATTATAAATAATCCACCTTAATCATAATTATTGATAATGATGAATGTTTTTGAATTAATGAAATGTGTAAAAAATATAGGTACCTACAATATTCGATAAATCATGGCATTTGAATAATGATATTGTGAGAGGAATTTAATTTAGATATTTAATTTTAAAAGTGCATTTACTATATAATTATACGTTTAAAAATTGTGAGTTACTTACTTAATCGTAAAAATATTATATTAACGAATAAAAATTTTCAAACCGTATATTACAGTATTAAGTAGATATAGTTGTTAACACCATAAGTATAGAAGTGGTATTATAAAAAATGTACTTAAATTTAAATGTATTAGTTTTAAAATTATCTAAAAAATAAAAAAAAATCAAGTATAAAAAGAAATAACTGTACACTTTTTTAAACGTCCTATTGTTTTTATACAAGACTTAGAAAACTGGCTAAATTAAAATTTTTATAATCGTTTTTAATTTTAAGATTTTAAAATCATTATTTAATGAGTTATAACAGGGTATACCTATCTGGTATAAAAAAACGAATATTTAAATAATAGGATCAAAATAATAATTTTTACATTTTACTCATTTTAGTAAGTATAGGTAAAGATAGATTGGTACCTACTTCCGATTTTTTCTCAAATAATTCAATGTATAGAGTTATATTCTTAAGGAGACTAATATAAAAATCAGAAAATGATTTGTTTAAACAAACTTGGATAGTTAAATACATTTGTGATTTAAGCAGTATGGTTATATCAATTTATATATTATAAAATTTCAGAGTTATATTTATCATACTGTATGTCACACGATATATATATGCGTAGATATAAACCGTTTGAAAACGGTCATTAGACTAATAATTGGGACTTATGATACCAATATTTTACATTATCACTGTTAAGCAGTGCTATGCGCTATTGTTCTATTTAGGTATTATTGGTATTAAAGTAGATGTGTATACAGTAATTAAGAATTTCCAACTTTATTGAATACTTGGTATACATGCGTATCTACACGTATACCTACTTCTATGGTTTTTTTTTTTTTTATTATAGTACCTAATGCGTAAAATAGTCATATAGGTTTTCTCTGCATGTCAGAGACGCAGCTGATTTGTGTATATATACTATATTTATACAAACATATATATATATATATATATATATTATGTAAATGTACATACATAATCGTCAAAGCTATAAACATGAATCTAATTACGTTCAAAGTGAGTTTCAATTTTCATAGTACATATTATATATATAATAAAGGTTACATCAATATAACTCAATTAATTATTCATATATATTTCCTTACATTCAATTTACCCTATCTATACGTATATATATATACGTAGACTATAAAATGATCATCCTACTTACAAGCTATGATATTTTGATATTTATACTCGTACCTATACCAAAAAATTCGTTCGAAATAGTTCTTGTTGTAGTAATTTCGATACATATAGCGAATGTATGAATCGCTTTTTAAAACTTACCCCTCCCATATGATTACTACAAATGGCGTTCGTGATAGGGGGAATTTTCTCTTTATCATCGCGATGACCTGATTTTGGGGACAAAAGCTGTTTTATTTTTTCAAAGAACTCAAGACATATACAAATATTATAATACGCACGCAGACGTGTGTATCGGATACCTATTTGTATTATATACGTAACTATTACACCTTTACGCGGCCAGCGATTGGACCACCTGAACGCGTGATATAATTTCATTACGACCGTAACCGAGTGTGCCGTACACCGTAAATACACATCACATTTAGAGTATAACAATAGCGTATAGGTAATAATGAAAATAAAATATAATATACATAGTATTTATTACACGGAGCGTAGTTTTTTGTCGTTGTCGTGATGGTTATTGTTTCGGATCTCAGAGCAAAAAACTCGGCCGCAAGAAATAAAAAGGGTTAAAGAATTCTTTTGAAACGTCTCGCGAGGACCAAAACAATGCAGTCGTCAAAGGTGTATAGGTTAGTGGTGCCAGGTATACCCTGCGGTTGTCCATGTAATGTGCGGTGAGAAAGGGGTCACTGGGCCAAGTCACAATGCTTATTGCGGCTAGGCCATTTCGAGGGAGCGATGTTTAAAAAGAAAAAACGAATAAATTTGTCTCAAAAAAAAAAAAAAAAACTCGATTTTGATGTAAAGGATTTCATATGTAGGTCAAGAGAAAACGACAGTCCGCCGTTGTCGTTGACCAATCAGCGACCATCTTGCGTTTTTCTTATAGGTGGATACGCTCGATGACCATTATTATTATTATTATTATTACTGTATTCTCACGACCTGCAAAGCCCATCTCGATCGGCTCACTACTTAGTGTCGCGTATTCGGCATTTGGAATTCGAGCAGACCGCTACTTGCTAAATCTCTCGTATACCTACAACACAGCACTCGAAGATCACTGGATTTACACTTACACAACCACTACTGCTTCGCAAACCCGTCGTCCAAGGTGAGTGTACTTTTGTATTGTTATTATATATATACGAGCCCGCGTTACATGACGTATAGATGACGGTCAATATATCATAAAATTATAATCGTTAATGATTAGAAACCAGCTCGGACATCACATAATACTACGGTGATATGAGCTCTCGGTCGCGAAAATGAACGTATATAAATAGAATAGGTTTTCATATTGGTCGTGATCCAAAACATCGCGTCTAGCAAACCCGCGAGGGTGTCCTGTGTATAAATCCCTCGGCGGAGTCTCCTCAGAGACACGCTACAGGTGGATTTCGAGAAAAGCGCGTGTATTTATAGGTTTACTATATGTCTTGATATAATATTTACAATATTTATTCGCCGGTGCAGCATCGATGGGTTTTTGCGAATTTCACTACCTGTCGCAACCGACTCTGCCGCCATCTGGGCGATCGAATATCCCGTCATCCCTAAGGGTAGTTCGCGGACAGAGCGAGAGAAAGGAAAGGCGGCACAGCGTCCGCGCGCGACGTCCTGTTGTGGCGGTAGGTCGAGGGGTACGCTCTGCTACCATTGTCCTCGTGACCTGCGCGCGACTCCTCCTATCCGGCATGGCGCCCGGTGGCGGTCGGTTTGGCCATCGCCGTCGCCGTCGACACCATTACACAATATTGTCGCCGAAATTTCGCGACCACGATGGAAGGATAGGCCGCCGTAGCGCCATGATTTTTTTGCAGATGAAACGAACAATGATGACATCTTGTCGCTCACGGATATGATGGGTTTTCTTGTAGCAATTCCGTTTATATACAGAAGTCTATGGGTTATATTAAAAAAAAAAAAAAATTATATGTGCTGGACTTTAGAAATTTACGCATTTTAGGCGATAAAATATTCCTACGCGCAATAATTATTTTGTTTTCATGTATCGATCATATAAGATGAATCCCAATTTAATGTCTATGTTCCTACCTACACTTATATATACTCGTATTTAATAAAACTAACGTTTTCACAAATATGGTAATCTTTGGACATTTATTGATATAGGTACCTACTAGAATTAAAATCTTAACTTTTATTCTATAAACTAATATACTATAGGTATATATTGATAATATGGTTATATATAAAATATAATTTGAAAGAAATAAACTTGACTAAATACTATACTGATGAACATTTTATGTTGTATTTATATTGTACAGCTCCGTTCTAAAACGATTCTAAATTTATTTATAGTGTATAGGTACATACATTAGCATTTAATAGATTATATAAATTTCTTAGCTATTATCATAAGAGTAATAAATTAAAATTAATTATAAAAATATAAAATATAAAACTTTAAATTTCGATTTCGATGTATCTATTAACGATTAAAAAAAAAAAAAAAAATCAACTACTTAATAATCACGGAAAAACGGAAGAAAAAAATGTTTGATAAATATAGTAGTCTACAAATGCCTTAAAAAACCAAGTATTTAAGCATAAATCCGGAGACCAGTCTACAATAGTTTATAAAGTGATTTGGTGTTATTCTAGATTATTCTGTTTTTGATTCCGCGCCAACATAACTTAACTTTCAATTGTTTTGTTTTGTGGTTTCTCGCGATATTAATTTTTGTTATTAACTAGAAATAATTAAAACAGACCGATTTCGTTCGTTTTGAATGTCTCATACCGCACTAATTTATATTTATTAATTTATATTATTTATATTGATATTCAGATAGTTATTCTACAATACCAACTATAACGAAGACCGGTTGACTGTAGGTGTCGTGTTTAAGTACATATACAATCGTGGCGAAAGAGATACAGTCGATAATGTTTGTCTTGGCGTTGTAAAATAATAATATAGAATTTCAATATATCTGATGATTGACGATGAGTCGTAGCTGATGCACGCGAGTCTCGCCGATATCGCGTGTACACATAACATAAATACAATATTATATAAAAATATACGTAATATATTATTTTGCTGCAGAACGACACGTATAAAATGGTTTTATGCGTTCAGAGTGTGCACGCGCGCCAGACCGTCATTTGAATATTATAAACGGTGTTTTCAAAGTCCACGTACTAGACGTATAAAATAGTCGATCGTCGTTTTTACGACCATTTTTATAGAGTAGTTTACGCGCAGTCAATGTACAGATATATAAACATCGCATATAGTATATATATAAATACAACATAATATAATATATAAAGCGTAAATGCCGCAGTTGTGGTTGATCAAAGTCCGTATTTGACTCGTATCCTGCAAAGTGCATTGTGCATAATTAGCAGGTCAATATTCATGCAATACTTATAAGTACTAACTTGTTATATGAAAGTATATGTCGACGCGCTGTATTTTAAGAGGACGTCCCACTAAGATTCATTGTCAATAATAATATTAGAAAATTGCGTATACAGGAAGAGTAAAAAACTCATTTAGTTTTGATGGTTTTAATGTGTTAAGTTGGAATTAGGGCGAATTTAGATGCAGTTATAAAATTTAATGGTAAGAATATTATTATTTATAGGTGTTTAACATTTTCTTGATATTTTGCTTTATAAACAAGTAAAATATTTTTATAATTTAAAAATGCTCTTTAAAGGTTATTATAACTTTATAATAATTGAATATCGAAAAAAATTTAAAAAACTGACTTGAGTACACAGTTAACGGTTCTTACTTATAACATTTAAATTTTATAACGTGTTAATTTATTTTAATATTTATATAGTCTGGGACTCAATGTTTCATTCATTCACCTAAAATTATTGTACTAGTTTGTACGAAGAATCGAATTTTCTATAATTAACTTGATTTTGAATGTTAGTACGTATATATGTATGTATGTATGTATGTATTTATGTATGTATATTGTATTTTGTAAATATATATATATAATGTAATTTAAGGATAACTATAGTAAAACTGAAACATTATTCTTGACTCTTTAAAGTTCAGTTTGTTGAAGTCCCTTATTGCCTTCTATTGTTTTCTATAATTCAAGTTATTTTCAACCCACGTGATTTAATATCTTCAGCGTATGTATAAGTTTTAATTTTATAGATCACACATTTTTGAATGACTGTTAGGTAAAAAAAAAATGTTGTTATACGTCTTGTATTCTAGTATAGTGTAATTTAAATTTCATCCAAAACGGGACAATACATCATCAATGTCGTCACATCTGTACGATTATAAATTAGTATATCTAGTATTGTTAACATTTTTATACGGTAATAGAGTATTTCTGCAGTTTACACCCAATGTGTTCTTAATAAGGCTTATAGTTCTCATTATGTCTAACAATATAATATATTATTGTTTGAAATCTATTATTTTTTTATTTGCGATAACAGTTAATCAATTTTGTATTATTTCTTACCTATTAATCTAGACGGCATTGGTGCAGGCACACACATCAGTACGATTATTATACAATTGCCGGATATGTCGCGACACTACATCATCACTTCACGGTACCATACGGTGATAAAAAATTACTTCACTCCCGACACGTGACCACGCACGTCACGTGTAATCGCATAGCGAACTTGCCGTCACCTGAAAATTATAAGATATTCAAATTTATTATTTTTGCACGATATAGTAACAAATGAAATAATACCTGCAATAAAAACTCTATATAAATATTGTGGATAATTCCTCTAAATATGTTAACTACAGGCTTTAAACATTTTACAATCCCATTTATAGATACGACGGATAACTTAAACATTTCGTTTATATAAACTTGGAATATTATAATATAACTGACATTTATAAAATTTTTCATAACTTTTATATATTTACTTATAAATATAAATTTTAATCAAAATGTCGATAAAAAAAAAAAAAAAAATGATTTGTGTGCTGGAACACCATTTTTTATTTTTTATCATTCATTTTACAGGGTTTTATACATTTGTAGCAGTAATTTAATGTTGTATATCTATGTACAGCATAAATGAGATGGATAAAGTTTAGTACCGCACGTGGACCATCGTAGTCCGTATTCAATGGGACTAGCTCTTATCGTGGTTAGATTAGATCCATGTTCACTTCTGCGTTGCTTTACGCGAAAATTCTTCTCCCCGAAAGTTTAGTAATACGATTACAGCTGCTTCAATAGGTAGTCGTTGTAGTGTAAACAAAGGGGGAAATAATCCCAATTTTGTTTGGCAACTGTAAATTAAACTCGGGTACGTGTACTATAATACAGCTTATACTAATAGTGTTTTTAAGATCGCGTATAACGTTTAAAACGTAATTAATAAAACGTTAATTGTTTAATTGTTTTTTTTTTTTATCAAAATAATAGTTGGTTTAGGTTTTTTTTATATGCATTGTTTTTCTTTTCAACTGAACGTTGTATCTTTAGTGATATCCCCGTAGAAAAATATACTCATGTATAATATTATTATCGTCTTTAAAAAGTTAAACTATAAAATCCTTAATTTAATTAACACTGACTAATATTTTATTTTTCTTTATTATGATTATTTTTAGTTTCTATCAATTTCAACTTGATACATTATATAACTTCATAAATGCTTTGCCTTAAGCTGCATAATTCAACAATTTGTGTTTCTTGTATTGAAATTTATTGTTTAAATAGCAATACAGCCAAATCAATGTAAATCGATGACTTCGGAAAAAATCATCTTATCTTATACGTATAGGTATATTATACGATTTTTATACTTTCCTGCACAGTAATAATCTACGTGCTTTTTAAAAATATTAATTGAAAACTGTTGGTCTTTCAAATCGTTATTGTACAGGAGATATATGTAGGTATAATATAATGTTATTATGCACAAACAATATTTATTACCATAGATGATATCGTATGGTATATCTGGCACAGGTAAATATCATTCTATGCATATCTATATCTATATATATATATCTATATATATATATATATATATATATATAGTTTGTGGTGTATTATATTATTATTACTTTGACTTATAACGTTAATCGAGATCGCAGAACACAAATGGTATACCTAC